GCACTTTCCAGGCTCCTGCAGGATAAAATAATGAATGCACATGTTTTTTTTCCCTGAAAAAATGTGTACATTTATAAATTTTTTATTGAATGTTGAACTCAGCCTTAAAGTTAACAAAAACCTTCCACTGTGTGTTCTCCTCTCCCCCTTTCTAACACTTTCCTGACTCCTGTATCATTCCAGCACTGTGCTCAGATCCAGGTCTTCTTTCCCTCTCTTCCTGGTCTCACAGGCTTTGCTGAAAACATCAGCAGCCATTGGCTCCTGCTGCTGTCAGTCAAATCCAGTGAGCAGAGAGCAGGGAGGCATGAGCTGCACTGTGTGTGTCTATGGACACACACAGCCCAGCTTGAGAGCGAGCTCACACATCTGCCCCCAGAGCAAGCTCCTGCTATGGGGCAGACACAGAAGAAGAGGAGCGGATTGAGCCTGCAGGGGACCCTAGAGGAGGAGGTAAGGGGTGTACCTGTGCAATACCGTTGCACAGAGCAGGTAAGAAAAAACCTGTTTATTAATTTAATAACAACAATAGAAAGAAATCCACTCTTTTATTATAATAACATGCTAATATGATGTTAAAGCAGCAAGAAATGGATATTGTGGCTTGGTGGTGATCCTGTCTTATGAGAGCTGAGAGAAGAAACATATCCAAATACAAGGATCCCATGGCATGTGAAGGAGAGGAATGAGACCCCGTAAAGGGGAATGCACAAAGTGACCTATCTTAGCGGATAGGTCAATATAATATACTGTATATGAATGGTGCTGGAACTCATTTTTGCTCACTACATGCTGAAGAAATCAATCACTTCACAGTGGACATAATGTTTATCACAGAGGGAGTGGATTTGGAAGGACTGTTTAGGAATGTATTACATTTATATACACTCACCGGCTACTTTATTAGGTACACCTCTTCAATTGCTGGGTAACGCAATTTGCTAAACAGCCAATCACATGGCAGCAACTGCATTTAGACATCTAAACAACTTGCTGAAGTTCAAACCGAGCATTAGAATGGGGAAGAAAGGGGATTTAAGTGACTTTGAACATGGCATGGTTGTTGGTGCCAGACGGGCTGGTCTGAGTATTTTAAAAATTGTTGATCTGCTGGGATTTGCACACACAACCATCTCAGAGAATGGTCCCAAAAAGAGGAAATATCCAGTGAGCAGCAGTTGTGTGGATGAAAATGCCTTGTTGATGTCAGAGGTCAGAGGAGAATGGGCAGACTGGTTGCTGCGACATTCAGATGGTAGGGTCAGAAATTGGCATGAACAACATGAAAGCATGGATCCATCCTGCCTTGTATCAACGGTTCAGGCTGGTGGTGGTGTAATGGTGTGGGGGAGATTTTCTTGGCACTATGAAGGTGTACCTAATAATGTGGCCGGTGAGTGTACATAAGTATTAAAAAATTAGTGTGACATGATTATGATAAATGGATTGATTTGAATGCATATATCCACTAGACACATTGAAGGAGCAATATTGGGCACATGGTATAGTTAAACTCCTCGAGCGCCTAGTCTACACCCGCCTATGCTCTCACCTCAACGACAACAACCTCCTCGATCCCCTACAGTCCGGCTTCCGTCCCCTACACTCCACCGAAACTGCCTTACTCAAACTCTCCAACGACCTGCTAACCGCCAAAGCTAATGGACACTATTCAGTGCTCCTACTCCTTGACCTCTCTGCGGCCTTCGACACAGTCGACCACCCCCTCCTCCTCAAAAAACTACACTCTCTCGGCTCGGCCTCAGAGATTCTGCTCTCTCCTGGATCTCATCCTACCTGTCACAACACTCTTTCAGCGTTACCTATAATGCTACCACCTCCCCCCCCTCACTCCCCCTCTCTGTTGGGGTCCCTCAAGGCTCTGTCCTCGGGCCCCTTCTCTTCTCCATCTATACCTCCTCCCTTGGCCAACTCATACACTCTCACGGCTTCAACTACCACCTCTATGCCGACGACACACAAATCTATCTCTCAACCCCCCACCTCACCCCCTTGGTCTCAGCCCGAATCACACAGCTACTGAGCGACATATCAGACTGGATGTCGCTCCACTTCCTTAAATTGAACCTCTCCAAAACCGAGTTTCTTGTCTTCCCCCCAGCCCGGACACCACCCCCCATTGATTTCTCCGTCACATCCAACAACGCTACCATCAAACCCGCCCTGCAGGCCAGAGTACTGGGTGTCATTCTGGACTCCAACCTATCCTTCCAGCCCCAAGTCCAATCTTTAACAAACTCGTGCAGACTCCACCTCCGCAACATCGCCAAAATCCGCACGTTCCTAACCCCAGAAACCACTAAACAGCTCATCCACTCCCTCATCATATCACGACTCGACTACTGCAACTCCCTCCTCACTGGCCTGCCTCGCCGCTGGCTATCCCCTCTTCAGTCCATCCTGAACACGGCTGCCAGACTCATTCACCTTTCCAACCGCTCTGTCTCCGCCACCCCCCTCTGCCAATCCCTCCACTGGCTTCCGATTGCGCAACGGATCAAATTCAAAATCCTAACGCTGACGTACAAAGCTGTCCACCATACTGCCCCGAACTACATCACTGACCTAATATCCAAGTAGTACCGCCCAGCACGCACACTCCGCTCCTCACAAGACCTCCTTCTCTCTAGTTCCCTGGTCTCCTCCTCTCATGCCCGCCTCCAGGACTTCTCCAGGGTGTCACCTATCCTCTGGAACTCCCTGCCCCAACCCATCAGATTATCACCTACTCTCCTCTCCTTTAGGCGCACCCTGAAAACCCATCTCTTCAGGGAAGCCTACCCCACCCCCTGCTAACTTGCCTCCCTCCTCCACTCTTCCTACCACTCCATCCCCCACAGCTATCTCCTCCTGTGCCACCACCCCCTCCCTCCTAGATTGTAAGCTCGAAAGAGCAGGGCCCTCGATCCCCTCATGTTTTGGATTGTATTGGTATTGTTCTGTCACATGTTCTGTCTCCCTTTGTAATGTACAGCGCTGAGCGAACTATTGGCGCTTTATAAATACTGTATAATAATAATAATAATAATAATAGGGTGATATCCTTGGTAAATATATTGAGCTGCACTTTTTGGGAAGACATACAGTAATAATATTAAAGTGTTACTAAACCCACAACAGTAAAATCAGTCTGTCTATGCAGTAAAGCATGCTTGGTATGTTCACCGTGGAACCTAAGGTGTTAATCCTCCGCATTGTGTAAAAAGGATGTTTGATCCTCTCTTCTCTGATCCTCCCCTTCTTCTATTGTCTCCAATATATCTCCTGATAGAACAGAGGCTTGGAGTCACTTTGCACATGCTCAGTTTGGTGTGTATTTCTAGAGTTTTTTTTTTCCTTGGGAGAGTGCATGTGATTAGCACAGGACCAATCAGCACTGTCCAGACAGAGGGTCAGGGGTCCTGCAGCCTCACAGGGGAGAACGAAAACTCCTCCTGAAAAGTTTAACTAGTGCTCTGCTGGACACTGGTAGGAGTCACAAGACTGCTCTAACTGCTGTTGAGAAAAGGTATTTAGCAGTTTATATTTACTAAAATAATTGCATTTCCATGTTTTGTGTACTGTGGGAGATCATATATAGTGAATGCAGGGTCCGGGGAGACCAGATATAGTGAATGCAGGGTCGGGGGGGACCAGATATAGTGAATGCAGGGTCCCTGGAGACCATATATAGTGAATGCAGGGTCCGGGGAGACCAGATATAGGGAATGCAGGGTCCTGGGAGACCAGATAAAGTGAATGCAGAGTCTGGGGAGACCAGATATAGTGAATGCGGGGTCCGGGGAGACCAGATATAGTGAATGCAGGGTCCTGGGAGACCAGATATAGTGAATGCAGGGTCCTGGGAGACCAGATATAGTGAATGCAGGGTCCTGGAAGATCAGATATAGTGAATGCAGGGTCCTGGGAGACCAGATATAGTGATACCGGTGTCCGGGGAGACCAGATATAGTGAATGCAGGGTCCGGGGAGACCAGATATAGTGAATGCAGGGTCCGGGGAGACCAGATATAGTGAATGCAGGGTCCGGGGAGACCAGATATAGTGAATGCAGGGTCCGGGGGAGACCAGCTATAGTGAATGCAGGGTCCTGGGAGACCAGATATAGTGAATGCAGGGTCCTGGGAGACCAGATATAGTGAATGCAGAGTCCTGGGAGACCAGATATAGTGAATGCAGGGTCCGGGGAGACCAGATATAGTGAATGCAGGGTCCGGGGAGACCAGATATAGTGAATGCAGGGTTCTGGGTTTAGTAGCACTTTAATTGTGTGTGTGTTTTTTTTTTTTTTTAGGGAGCCAACCAATATTCTTCTTAAAGATGTACAGAGAACTAACTTTTCATGACAAAGGACTAGCAGTGGCCATCACTTTCAAAAAGAATAATAAAAACTACATTGTGAGTGTTAACAGTGATTCCTCTATTACTCTTAAGGTAAGCATGTCACCAGAATGATCTGTAAGCCACTAAAAGAAGACACCTGTCACTTCTTAGAGTACATTTCATATGATATCGGATATAAATGTAATATATTTTCTAGCGTGCAGTATTACTTTTCTCAAAATGATTAACAACAATTTGATATGATTTAACCTGATAATCAAGTAAAGCAGCTCTGCTCAACACAAACTGAGAAGCAGGGAGTTCATAAAATGTGGGATCTTATTTTTCAGGTGGCCTACAATAAAGGACCACTATACTGTCCTAATGTTGGCCATTGACAAGCCTGGATTGGATATCCTTTTCCATATGGACATTAAGGCCTTACAAAGGGCAGAGTAATGGATTAGTGATTAACATGTCTGCCTTTCAGTCACTGAGGGCCCTGGTTGGTATCCCAACCATGTTCATTAGGTGTGCATGTTCTCACAGTGCTTGTGGGGGTTTCCTCCAGGAACCGTGGTTTCATCCCACATTCCAGAAGACATGCTAGTAGATTAACTGGCTGACGTCTAAATTTGCCTTACTCAGGGGCGGACTGACCATTCAAGCACTGCCCGAGGGCCCGGGGTCAGTAGGGGGCCCCATGAAATGCCCCTGGTACCTTTTATAGGCTTTTTTGGGTGTGCTTTGAGTGTGGGCAAGGACACAGGGGCCCCATGATCCCCTATTGCCCGGGGGCCCCATGAGTTGTCAGTCCGCCCCTGGCCGTACTATATGTGTTTATTTACTCATGTAAGATAGAACCTTAGATTGTAAACTCCTTGAGGACAATGACTGATGTGAACATATGCTAAAAAGGAATGGACTTTGGTAGTGCTCAAGGATCCCCGTTTTTAGGGTGGAACATGTAACATGTTCCCAGGGGCGGACTGACAACTCATGGAGCCCCCGGGCAATAGGGGATCAGGGGGCCCCTGTGTCCTTGCCCAAACTCAAAAAAGCCTATGAAAAAGGTACCAGGGGCATCTCATAGGGCCCCCTACTGACCCCGGGCCCTCGGGCAGTGCCCGAGTTTCCAAATGGTCAGTCCGCCCCTGCATGTTCCCATAGTTGCAGCCACCGCCCCCCCCCCCCCCCCCTCCCCCTGACAGATAATACAGGGAGAAGTTTCCCCGTACTATCTGTCAAATTTGAAAATAGCGCAGCTGTGCGGGGCTCCGCCCACACGGTTGCATCATTCATTCATGGACTTCCATGAATTAATGGACTGCAGGTTCCGACAGCCTTATGCCCCGTACACACAATAAGAAAATCATACAAAAAACTTCACGGGACCACTGATAGAACGATTTTCTCTTAGTTGATGAGCAGGATGTTTTAACTGATATCGATATTGTGAACAAAAAAATCTGGTTGAACAACAATGAAAAATGTGGTCATTTTACATACGAACGACCGATTTTCTATGCGGTGGTATGACGGTCGCACGAAAAACATCTATCAAGCGCTATCACGCATGTGCGGAAACAGGATATGACCCGGATGTTTATGTCCAAGGAATCTTCGTAAACACGAACGAACAATCCAAATGTTAAAAGGAGATCGGCCTCATGGATCATGAAACCAGAATTGTGCAGATTATATTTTATGTATCACTATTGATGTATATAGGTCATGTAATAATCTATATTATACTCATTGCTGGTCATTGTTGTGTATATCGCTGGTTCTGGCCGGAAGGGCGTGGCTACAAGGTCACACGCACACCGCATCACTTCCACTTGTACGGAAGACGTCAACACTACGTATTGCCCGATGAACGATTTTTTTTCAGTTTGGTTAATGTGGGCCACGATTTCAACCAACAAATGAACGCCTCTCGGTCGTTGGATGACCGATCGGTCGATTTTCTAATCATGTATTCCCACCGTTAGCGGCTGTGGGCTTGTAGTTTTCAATGAACTTCAGTTCATTGATTCTTCCTATCAGAATATGTGCTTGCTCGTACATCCCAGTACAGCAAGCAGATATTCTGACAGGTCTGCAGGAGACTTGCATGGCATCAGCAATGTACTGATGCTGGTGCAATGCTTTCCAGGCTCCTTTGGACATAATAAATGCACATTTTTTTTAATTGCATTTATTATTTTTGTCCAAAAGGTGAACTTATCCTTTAACCCAATTCTGCCTTGGATTCATGATAATCTGTGTACAGAGAATAGAAACAATTTAGTACTGTCCGTGATACTTTTTTTATTTGCACTAACATACAATTTTGAGGACAAGCTTTCGGGGTATGTCCCCTTCTTCAAAGTCCAAACAGTACTATTACAAATCACAAAGTTTAAGCAGAATGTTAGAAGGGATTGAAAAAAAAAAAAGAAAAAGGCTACAGATAAGATACATCAAAAGGGAGGGGGGGGGGATACTACACTCACACAGAGGGGGTCAAGCTTCAGCTAATAGATAGTCATAAAACTGTCCGATAATGGTTGAGGAATCCCATGTCCAAGTTAAGGCCGTTATCAGGCCACACAATGGAAGACCTCAATGTTTTAGTTCTGAAAGGAAAATTCAAATCCATCCAGGAAAGAAAAACATTTGAACTAAGAATGATAATTCTATTTGACACAAAAGATAACGGCCTTAACTTGGACATGGGATTCCTCAACCATTATCCAACAGCTTTATGACTATCTATTAGCTGAAGCTTGACCCCCTCTGTGTGAGTGTAGTATCCCCCCCCCCCCTCGCTTTTGATGTATCTTATCTGTAGCCTTTTTCTTTTCTTTTCTTTTTTTTCAATCCCTTCTAACATTCTGCTTAAACTTTGTGATTTGTATAGTACTGCTTGGACCTTGAAGAAGGGGACATACCCCAAAAGCTTGTCCTCAAAATTGTATGTTAGTGCAAATAAAAAGATTATCACGGACAGTACTCAATTGTTTCTGTCGCAAATGCACTAATACAGCTACAATCACCTTGTACAGAGAATATAAACCCATGATAATCTCTAAACCACATTTTCAAAATGGTCAATGTTCTCTTTTTGTTTTGTTTTTTACTCACTAGCAATACACATATATTCACAATGTACCAATATATATATATATATTATCCTAAAACATACCCTGATTCATTCAGTATTTTTGCACATGCATTAAACCCTTCTGTTTCACTTATTTCAGCAATGCGAGCTTCCGCAGGATATACCGGGGAAGCAGAGTGAGATTATCTTCTATCAAAAATTATTTTGTGATGAGCACCCGAACGCCTTCTGCTTTGAATCGTCACTCAAACAAAACTTTTATCTTGGTTTCAGTGCGGACGACTATAATAAGAAGCTGGTTCTAAAACACCTGCCTGAAGATAAACTTGACGAAACTGTCAGGTTTACTTTTGATTGATGTCTGATAATGTGGCAGCATTTTAAGCCGAGTATGAACTATCAAGAGATTTAAATGAAGATAAAATCAAAAATCATTGGCCTTGTCTCCATTTTGGCTGTTATATACAGGACTTTTTTAAATTGGGAATGCAGTTTCGGCACCTCCATCACTGAATGTATGCAATGGCAAGGGGTGCTGGGGTGTTCTGGAGGATCTATTGTTGCTGGCTTCAGGGGATCTATTGTCACTGAAGGGGGGTCTATTTTTTTGTGGTGGCCTATTGTTGTAGGGAAGATTTATTGTTGCTAGTGGGGGATCAACTGTTATTGGAAGGGATCTACTGTTGAGGGAGTGGTCTATTGTTGCTGGCTTCCGGGGATCTATTGTCACTGAAGGAGGTCTATTTTTGTGTAGTGAGGGAAGGTCTATTGTTGCTGGCTGCTGCAGACTTTATTGATGCTGGCTGCTGGGAGATCTGTTGTAGCTGCTGAGGGTCTATTGCTGCTTGGGTGGTATTTTGTTTTGGGTGTCCATTGTTGCTGGATGGATCTATTGTTGCTGGGGGGGTGTTCCATTGCTGCTGGCAATCTATTTTTCAGATTTTCTTGCTATCATGAACAAATTACATACAAATTATTTATCACCACAAGATGATACTTGGTTCTGTATTCTCTAAAAGGAGAGGTACCGGGAGGTGGCTAGGGGGTGGAACCAAGTGACGGTGCTCAGAGGTGGGTAAGGGGCAGAGATAAGTGACTCAGAAGGGGGATGTTCTAGCCAGGGGCGTCCGTAGGGTTGGTGTCACACTTGGTGACACCCCCTCCGACGATCCCCGCAGTATGGTTCGGATCTGCGGATGGAACATTATGGATCGGAGTCCGATCCATTATGCTCCCCAATCCGCAGATCCGATCCATCCTGCAGGGATCGTCAGCATGCCACCTATACGGGGTGACACCAGACCCGCTCCACGAAAAGGTAAGTTGTAAAGAAACCCGGCGATCCCCGCAGGATGGATCGGATCCATCCTGCGGGGATCATCGGCTCCATCCTGCTGGGATCATCGGCTTGCTTTACAACTTACCTTTCCATGGACCGGGTCCAGTGTCACCCTGTGCGATTGGTGTCACCCGGTGCGGTGTGCACCCCCCACACCTGCCTCGGGATGCCACTGGTTCTAGCACCTATTTTTTGAGAAAAAAAGCCCTGGTTATATATGATAATTATTAATAAGCTGATAGGGTTCCTACTTTTTCTTTTATATGGTTTCAGTGTGGAACTCTAGCCAAATGTTGGGTAATCTCGGAAAAGGTTGGGAAGAGTTAGAAATGAGTTGATTTCTTTCTGTTTCCCTGATAAGGACCTTTCTCTTCACTTTCTGTCCAAGTAACAAGTGAGAAGGCATCTCCCAAATCAGGACACTACACTAGTAAATTCACTTTTTATTAGTTATATTATTATTATTATACAGGATTTATATAGCGCCAACAGTTTGCTCAGGGCTTTACAATATAACGGGAGACAATACAGCAACAATACAGTTCAATACAAGAGGGATAGGAGGGCCCTGCTCCTTGGAGCTTACAATCTAAGAGATATGTGAAATACCAGGATGTACTAGGCCACTAGTACTCGCCAGTTCACCAAAAGGTAGCGTGGTACTAGTACTGGCACTCTGCCGCATATGAGAGTCATCAAAATTTACTGACAAGAGATATTGGAGAAAGGCAAGAACCTCTGTTTGTTTTTTGTTTGTTTTTTTTGTCCTCAGTGTCCTTGTATGAGTTTTCCATTCACTTGCTTTTCCAGTAAAAATATTTTCACTACTACAGGAAGTGAGGGGTTTAGGCTGCTTTCACTGATTCACTGCAAAAATGTGTTTTTGCTGCATTTCCATTCCATTTTCTGGTTGCCTGCACCTCTGAGAAATGGGCAGGTGAGTCTGCTCTGCTTCGCATTATTGAACTGTTGTATAACACTAGTCAGACAGTCTAACAATAATTCAGAAGTCAAGAAACGTGAGACATCAGATCTGTATGTATTCTTTCTTCTGAATAACTTTGTAAAACTACAACATAAGCACAAACAAAACATATGTGTCAGTACATTAAACATTATCCAACAGCTTCATCCCATCAGTGAGGGTACTCACGGACAATTCCACCATATGTCCAGGAATGGCTTGGAGCTTCACTGTATGCTACTTGCTAGTTTCAGAAGCAGTCACGAATGGAGGACACGAACTTCCAGGTTGAAGGTTACTGCATGTGAAAATGACCACTTCCTGACAAATCCTGATATAACTAGGCATAATAACTCTAACTACTAGATGGCAGCAACATCACATAACATTAT